TATGAACTGCCCAGTTGTTCTGATATTGGTTGTTTTAATATAACCTTTTTCTCTTTGCTTTTTTTTTTTTTTTAAACTGGTTCAACTTTTCTGATATACTTGCCAGAAAACTGACAGTAACAGAGCACAGCTAGTTTTAGCCATAAAAACATAATAATCTCTGGGCTGGAGAGGTGGTGCAGCAGGTAAAAGCACTTGCTATACAAACCTGGTGATCTGAGTTCGGATCTCCAGAACCCACATCAAATCTGCATGCAGTAATGCCAGTGTCTGTAATCCCAGAGTCCTACATGGAGACAGAGACGGGAATCTCCAGAAGCTACCAGGCCAGCTAGCCTGGCTAACTGCAGAAAAGATGCTATGTTCGAAGTAGAAAAGCCAGGGCCATCACCCTAAGTAGATTAGCATGTGTGTGCCCTTATCTACACCAATGAACATCACCTTAAAACACACACACACACACACACACACACACACACACACACACACACACACACGACTTCAAGATAGTTTCTTTCTAGGGAACATGCAGTGTGAGGTGCAGAGCCCACATGTCCGTCTGTACACTGGGATTACAAGCCCCAAGCACTGGGTTTGAGTTTACAACACACTATGGCAGTTCCTGTACACTAAAGAACACCCCTTTTCCCTTTGCTTTCCCTGTAAAGTGGTTCTCAAATTCCAGCTGTATCAGGATGCCCTGGAGGGCTCACATAACACAGATGAGCTCTGATGCTGTCTCTACACAGTGGGTTTGCAACGTATCTATCAACAGGCATCTTCACCTAGCTTCCAAGTGCAGCAGCAGTTCAGGGGAGGGCATTCTTTGAAAATTACTGCCTGAAGCATAAGGCAGATCTATTTAAACGCTGCTCAGTTTGTTCACGAGGAGAACAGTGGTCCTGTCCAGAGGAATGATGTCCTGCCTAGGACGAGGTATACACTGTACCTACAGTAAATGAGACTTGAGGCTTATGGACCTCACTGTTCTACACAAATGTCCTGGTCAGAACACCACTGTTTTCTAGGTGGGTGCTTTTGGAGTCTATTGATTGTACATCTCTTTTGGAAATTATTTACTTTAACTGAAATGTGGGTTTGTACTCATTATTTGAAGGAGACACCCCACCACCCCGCCCCCCCTTTCCCAGCTGCTTAGGAGAATATTACCCATATCACATAGATTAGAGGCTCATAATGATGAAGCTAATTAAGGGTTTTAGAAGAAATTCTAAAGAAGGAAAAGCAAACAAAAGAATGTTTCTAGGCAGAGCAGCATCCATGACTGTCTGTGTATGAACTTTGATTCTCTTTATCAGGATAAAAACCGGACATTAACAATGTCCTGTTTACATTGTATGAAAAGTGTGTCTAGCCAGAATCAATTCCTACTGCACAGGAAGCATGGGTGAAGACACACAGTTCTCTTCAGCCCTGGAATTCAGGGGATCCCCAACACTGCTGTCTGGGTGCCTTTCTCTGGAAACTGTACTCTGAGAGCATAGAGTCTTGGCTCCTGGTTTCTCCATGAGTACAGCAGTGAAGCTCTGTGCAAACTCGCTTCTTTCAGTCACAGACTGCTTCTTCACAGAAACAGCATGCCTTCCATGAAGGACTGCAGCCTCTGCGTGAGTTGAGAGTCACTTCAGTTGAAGGTGGCCAAGAACACATCTAGCTTTTTAAATGTTCTTGTTGACAAATCCCTACTGTTTAAAAATTATCTGGATGGAGGTAAATGTTGGTTTTGTGTGTGTGTGTGTGTGTGTGTGTGTGTGTGTGTGTGTGTGTAGTGTGTACATACATTCATGTTTACTGTGCACCCACATGTGCAAACTCTGTGTGTGTGTGTGTGTGTAGTGTGTAGTGTGTACATACATTCATGTTTACTGTGCACCCACATGTGCAAACTCTCTCTCTCTCTGTGTGTGTGTGTGTGTGTGTGTGTGTGTGTGTGTGTGTGTATAAGCCGGAGGTTGACATAAGGTGTCTTCTTTGACCATTCTCTGTCATAACTACTGAAGCAAGGTCTTTTGCCAACCCTGAGCTCATCCATTTGATTTGGTTCTAGCTAGCTTGCCCCAAGGTCCCTTCTCTCCACCTGAGCACAGAGGTGACAGACAGACAACCTCGTTGCTGTATCCCTTTAGTCATTTCCACAGCCCAAGCACTCATCTCTTAAGTACAGAGCTGACAGCGCCACCCCTCTTATGATACGCTTGATCCTACTATTTTCTTCTCTTAGAAATACACCACTTCAGTTGATTCTCATAAGCATGTAAAGATGTGACCAGTCCCATTTCACACGAGGAACTTAAAGACAAATTATTTAATGAAAACTGCAATTTCTAAGCACTCAAGTCTAACCTATTTCCTGACCTCAAAGTCAAATGTTTTTCTATCCTGTTTTGACTTATTTCTAATTTTTATTTTGTGTTAGGAACAGGCTGAATATATTCACGAATGTAGAGGCACATGTCAGAAAGAAATTAAAATTTTTAAATGAAAAGTTTTTTTTTTTATTATTCTTTGAGAATGTAATACACACTGTGTATTTGGATCACATTTGCCTTTCCACCCCCTCAGGACTCCTCTCAGATCCACTTTCTCCCAACTTCATGTCTTTAAAAAACATCAACTCCAGCCCACATACTCATGGGTGTTGGGTTGGGCCCCAACAGAATCAGAATCAGAATCAACCTACCAGAGGCCACCCTCTTAAAACAAAACAAAAAAGCAACTCTTTCCCCGAAGCCACTGTCTAAAATTCCTCCGTCAGTGGAACCATGCCCTCCCCATTCCACAGAAACCCTGACCTTTTCTGACCAGAGTAAGAGCAGGGAGTCCACCTGCACAAGGCAACCAGTACAGAAGGCATATCACAGCGTAACCTGGGCCAGGGACACGTCTGCCAGTTTGTAGGAATTTTAGGGGGAGAGCGTCAGCTTGAGGGGATCACGTAGGCTTGAAGCTACCAACTTAACATTTGTACCAAAAGATTAGCGGAAAACATGAGACAGCAAAAGTAGTCTATTTTGTGTAAACTATTTTTGTAGAGTACTGATGCACTAATGCACAACTGTTTTTTGTTTGGGTTGGTTTGATTTCTTACGTTGTGAGTATTGAGTGTACTGTTCTACCTTTGAAATATGCTGTAACATGTGCTATAGTTGCCTTGATTCTAAAAACAAAGGACAATGATTGATAAAGTACCAGCCTCTTGGGAAAAAGCTCTGTGAGGAATAAGTAAGCCAAAAAAAAAAAAAAAAAAAAAAAAAAAAAAAAAACTCATTGGTTTATCATGCCACACACACACAAAAGCAGTAACTGCCATCTCTGATATTTAAAAAGTATGCCCTCCCCTTTTCTTAATTCCTTTTCCATAACAACAACAAAGTAGGGAAGATTTGAGTGCCTCTGACTGCATGGTTTTGTGTGTATCCACCCAGTGAATATATGCAAGTTCCACAAGGTAGACTCAACAGCACAGATTTGCAGAGACAAAGGAAATGCAGAGGTTTCCTAGCTTATCCAGACATACACTGTAGCAGAAGTGGCGTGTGAATTATATCATGCAACCGTAGACCGGTGTGTTGTCCAGACTCTAATTGCTGAGAGGCACTCCCCTTGCTTGCCTCATGTCACAAAACCTGTCTTGAGAAAATCCTTGAGTTCTTTTTCTGCTGTTCTGTAGAAGAGCTCATAGTACTGAAGAGACAGTATTTTTAGTATTGATGTTCTATAATTGGGACTTAGAAGCTTTATCTGCTTATGTCTTGTGTGCCCAGTGTGTGTGTGTGTGTGTGTGTCCCCGTGTGTGAGCCCCTGAATCTTTGTTCCACTTTTTCAATTATTCCATGAAACTCATAATTAGCTTTGATAACAGCAGCTCTTTAATGTGCTGGGCATTGGCAGAGCATCAACCTCGGGATTTTACTTACTTATACTCACCATAAGGACCACAGAGGCCATTAGGAGCTGAGGAAGCCATAGTCCACAGACACAAGGAGCCACGCTCTCGACCCACCTAATACAGGCAGGGTGCCCTCAATGAGAGAAGAGCACTTTCAATTGATTTTTTTTTTTTTAAAAAAAGACTTTCATATGAGAAGGGTATGTATTGTGAAGCTGAGAGAAAAGGTTTTACAGGTATTCTCTGTTGCCAATTACAGTGATTTACTTCTAAAGCATTCACATCATTATCAGGGTGTATATTTCCCTTCCCTGTGTCCCAAGCAGCCAGGGACACCAGCTTAGAACATAAAGTGAAGATGATCGGGAAACAGGCCCGTGTTTACAATTCAATTCACCCCCCCTGCCTGCACCCCCTCTTTATTACCCTGTGAAATACGTGTCATTACAATAGCTATTAAGATAGAAAAGATTAATTGGAACTATAATTATCTGATAAGACTGCCACAATGTCTATCCTGAGTTAGTACAAATTTCTGTGCTTCAACTAAAACTACTGAACAAAACATATGTGAATGATGAGGTAAAAATCTTTCAGATCCTGCTTCCACTGGACATCTCCTAAATATAAAGTATCATTCAAATAAAGAGTCATAGTGTGTTTTAAATTTTTATTAGTAAGAGGTCTGAGTACAAATAAATTTAACTTGACATTTAGAAAAAACTGATTTGTTCTCTAAGTTCTGTACATTTTAATATCCAATTCTAATACTAAACATCATAATGCTTTTAAGCTTTTAACTTAATTTGTTTTAATTTTAATAATTCTTTGCTCATTGGGTTAAATAGACTTCCAGGTAGAAAAAAGGCATAAATCCAATTAAAGTAATGAATAAAAATTTTTCTGAAAAAGTTTAAAAACATTAAAATTAGAATACTTTAGTAGAAAACTTGCAGCCATGAACAAAATTAACATTGCATAATGTTTTTTTATCAAGAACTGTATCACAAATAACATGTTTACATATATTACAATGATTTGCAATATAGTAATTGCTTATCACAGAAGATCTAAAATCCTCTTTGAGAAAAGTTTTAAATATTATTTAGCACTTTAAGGAGTCTGTTCCCAATAAGTGACAAGAAGCCGATCCAGGAGGTGGCAGGCTGTGCAGCTGGGAATGAGAGACCTAACCAGGTAATGTCTTATCAGCATTTAGAGGAACCCCAGATACCATGGGAACTCCTGCCCCCAGTCAGTGTGAATGCCTAGCTAGCATAAGACCCACACCATGAACAGATGGTCAATGCTCAGGTTACGCCATCACATACAGCGTTTCTCCTTGGCTGGTATGTCCGGAGGACGAGTCCTATTCAGCAAATGCCTCTGCATCTGGCTTGAACTAAGTGGAAGGAAACTGTGCCATTCAACAGAAAGCTATTGAGTCTACTCAGCACAGTAGGTGTCCCAATTCTAAACATTTCTAACCACGGTTGCTTCAACATCAGTCCCGTAAACCCAAGAGTATCACACTTCTGTCTCCTGGATTTGAGCACAAGTTCAAATCTTAAAATTATGTATTAAAACTTCCAAAAATAGGGCTCTGGAAACATAATTGGGTTGAAAATCATTCTGTGTTGGGCTGACATTTCTTCTGCTTCCTGTATTTGGTAGGGAATCTTGCACCGGTCACCAGAATACAGAGTGTACAAAAGGAGGGCATGACACTGTGCCCAAGCCTCCTGGAGCCACGCAGAGGGGCACCGTAGAGGGAAAAAAGTCTCCCGTGACCTACCTAAGTGGCCAGCAGAGCAGCAGTGAGTAATTCCAGGACTGTAACTGACAAGTACCGATTGCTCCTCAGGAGTAATACCTCATTACATACGGTGGTAAACACCCCAAACACCTGGGGGGGGAGGATTTCCAGAGGAAGCACTCAGGAGTGGTTTGACAGTCACCTCAGACACGGGCACAGCTCCTACGTCCCTCCACCCTCTGCTACTGGGGTCTTCACCGGAGACTTCAATTTCCATCTAACCATCAGTGGGAAGACAATACTTAGGCTCAGTGAGATCTGACCAAAAATAAACAGATGTAAAAGTAGGAAATAAAGATTCTAGTGAGGCTAAACTTCCCACAGGGGCCAGCTCAGTGAGTGAGACCAGCTGTACAAACAGAAAAAAGGAAGCAACAAGTCTCCTTTTGGGTCATTTCAAAACAAAAAAGGCATTCTTAGCAACCTGGCTATGTGGTATGGCACTATCTGTTGAATTGTGCCACATTTAGCCGCTAAGAATTATTCCCTAATAAGGCTATTTTACCATTCAAAGTTAAAGTGTTTGTAATAAATACTGTATTAAAATTCTTTAATATTTACAATTTAAAATATATACACACACATATATATACACTGCGGGCTCCACTCAGTCATCGGAGTGTGACCTCTTCAATGTCCTCATCAACAGGGTCAGCAGCTTTGACTGTTGGCTTATTGCTTGTGTGTTTCGGCCGCGGCCTGTTGGGATTAAAACTTCTTCCCTCGCTGTGGAAAAAGTCTTCATCTTCACCATCAGGCTCCCGAACTCGGCTGCTTTTATCCCCAGAGGGGAAATTAAGAGGGTCCAAGTCTCCTCTGCCGGCAGCCAGAAAGTTCGGATCGCCACCGCTCTTGGAGGAGACGGTGGTGGTGCCGGCGCCGGCACTGGATCCAAACAGCTCCTCCATCAAGTTCGCCTTCTTCTCTTTCCTCAAAATGAAATCTACATTGTCTTTCCTCGGGCTTTCCAGACTGTTGTTTTGGAAATCTAAAAGGCTACTTTTTTGGCTAAGTGGATTGGACTTGCCTGACATTTTTGCAAACGAAGGCACGTAGCTACCAAATGCAAACTCATCTGGAGGGCCCGGGCTTCGAATTGGTCCTGGGCTCCGGCCTTCTCCTCTGGGACTTAAAAAACTCATGTCTGACAAATGATGTCCGTTAAATCTGTCTGAAGGCTCGGAGAATGTGTATGATTTGGGGCTTCTGTCTGGAGAAAGCAGTTTTGATTCAAAGTTGGGGAGCAGGGGCAAAGGGGGCCGGTTGAGGTTCTGCGGATCCTGGAGTTCTTGGTTGATTTCATCCAGTTTGGCAAGAAGCATTTCTGTCTTTAGTCTTTCTGCCTCGTCTTCGAGTTTATCAGCATTCTGAGTTTGAGACGTTTCCATCTGGAACCTTCCGGTGTCCAGTGCTGGCTTCTCTGCTCTTCCTAGCAAAGATGACTTACTCTTCACTTTATCAAGTTCTTCTCTTTCCCGTTCTGTATAAAATAAAATTTAAAAAGAGGAATTTTATAGAGTAAGTATTTCTAAATAGGAAAACTCAGCAAAAAGTCTTTTACTCTACATTTGACATTCAAAGATAGGTAGACTGGACATCATAATATTTTGTTTCCACATTTGACAGTCTGGGTTAGAAAGTAATTAACAAGGACCACACATAAGAGCCACATCCCACACTCTGATCTTCAGTGTAGCAGTAGGAAGGGTCTCCATGGAGTGCTGTACAATTCATGGTGTGCAATGAGACAGAAAGAACAGGGAATTTAAACAAATTCTTGGTTGAGAAAGCAACCCTTACTCCAAACTCCAACAGCAAGTGCGCTCACTCAAGTCAAGAGAGAATCTCAGTTACATCTCAAATGAAGAGCATCCTAATTTTTTGTAAAAAAGGTATGTACTTATCAAAAATAATAATTGCATAGACTAAAAAAAATATAAGCAAAAATACTCCACAGTAAAAATGACCCTAGAGTTGAGAATTAAACACAATTTGTTCTGAGAGAAGAAAATGCTTCCAGGAACAATCCTGTGTTTACCAACAAAATCACAATGTGGACAACAGACAAGTTAAATGTGTCCGAGCTAAAGCTCCTCAAGTGTGGGAACTGTGACGGAGAACTGTGAGAAAAGGTCTGTGCCCAGGGGAAAGGGCACAGACATGATGTGCAGAATTCATTTGAAAGGCTTGGTTTTGTTTTGCCCATTCTTGGCAGTTTCCTCTAATTTTGAAATCATTTTTCAAGTGAAAGAATTAAAAATATTGAAATATCATAAATATTTTATATTTAAAATAAAATATCAGTAAATGGCATACATGTATCATTCTGATATCAGATCACCCCATATAGAACAGGAGGTGAGGAGACAGCCTAAGAGACCAAGCCATGGTCTTCTGTTATTTAATTCCTTTTCTTGTTCCCTAAAATGAACTGACCATAACAATTTTCCATCCTGTGGCTTAACACATGAAAGCACCTTGCTCAGCCTCTGGCCAAAAGTGATGTGAGTATTATTTCACATCCAATATGCATGTTAACATTCCCATCCAATATGCATGCTAACAACTTCGATTGGATCACAAATTTCTGTTCCATGAATTTCAGCTTAAAACAAACAGACAAACTTGAAAGATTTCTCTGTATACAACTACCACAGAACTAATGGGATACGAAACTTAGTCCGGGACTCCTGGTGCCCACACCTCTAGCACATTCTATCCAGATGGAAACTATGCAAACTTTCTCTGAACTTATAAGCAATGTTATTAAAGATTTACAAATTAAAGTAAAACAATTCTAGGAATATTCAGGGCCTTGTAGATCACTGATTTTTGTGTTTCAGCTACTCCTAGAGACCAAGGCCAACATAAGGAAGGGCTCTCTTGGTTAATTCTTCATTTAGTTCCAGGAATAGTTCCCCTCTGTGATTAAACATCGCTTCCTCTAAATTCTCTGGAGTTCATTCATTCATAATCCCCAAGCCCCAACAGCAACTTCTGTCTTCCTTCTCTTTCCTTTCTAACTCCATTCAATTGTTCTGACTCCAGTGTATCGCCCTCCGCTGCTGTCTCCGCCTCTTCCGGTTCCCTGCTCACTTAACAGCCCACCAACTGCTTAGACAAACTCTTACCCCTCTCAGGCTTCCCCGAAGCCTCCTGCTTGCCAGAGCCTCCCTCCCGATCTTCACTGTGCGGTTCTTCTTTTTCCAAAGCTGGATGTAGAATCTCTGCTCCACGCTCGCTTTGCTCGTGGTATTCCAGGTACTATTATGCATTTCAAAAATGCAAATTCATATAGAAAGGGGGAAAATAGTCTTTCAACATGGTGGATCATCCATTAAGCATGATTACCAAGTTAGAAATTAAATCAAATCTTCACTTAATAAGTCTAGTTATATTTTGAAAGATGCTTCAAAAGGGATTATTTCTTAATTGAGCTAAAGTTTTAAAGAAAAACTTTTATATTATAAAAAATTATAAGATATATCAGAACCAATCAATATAATGAAAATAAAACCAACAACCTATATAAAATTGTGATGAGGTAAGCTGTAAAAGTAGCTTTGGTTTGTGTATTTTTATAACAAAATCTGACTGATCCACCTAACCAGAAATGGCTATTAACCAGCTGTGGCAGCCAGCTAAGATAGTGTTGAATTATAGAACACAGGCATTGAAAGCCACACTGAATCTTTCAGAGCTACATTATGTCTAAATCTCTAATTAATAATTTTATAGCATTTAAATCATATAATGTTATAAACTTATTTGCTGGCCCCCAAGATGGGCAATCTTCATTGTCAGCTCAGAATCCGTTGTCTAGGAGGAGATACACATCTGAGTGTATCTCTAAGAACTGAGGAGGGGCTGGAGAGATGGCTCAGTGCTTAAGAGCACTGGCTGTTCTTCCAGAGGACCTCAGCTCAATTCCCAGCAACCACGTGGTGGCTCACAATGATCTATAAGTGGGATCTGATGCCCTCTTCTGGCATATAGGTGTACATGCAGCTAAAGTACTCATATACATAAAATAAATAAATAAATCTTAAAGGAAAAAAAAAAAAACTGAGGAGGAGGCCCCGATGAATGTGTCTGGACATACCCAATGGCTGGGGATTGAAAGGGAAAAAGGAGAGAGCTGGCTGAGCATCGACATTCATCTCTGCTTCCTGACTAGCTGTAATATGACCAGCTGTCTCCCGTTCCCCACCATAATGGATGACATCCCCTTCAAACCAACAGCCAGAAAGAGCCGATTCTTTCTTGGGCTGCATCTTATGAGCTATTTGGTCACAGAAACAAGAAAGGTAACTAGCACACTTCCCCAGAGGACACAGACCAGTGAGAGGTGGGAAATATGCATGGAACTTCTGACCACATTTGTGAAAACAGATTTCCTGGAGTTTGGCTCTGGGCATCCTGCTGAACTCACCGAAGAAAGATACTCTGTTTCATTCCATTTGTTTTCGTAACACAGAACTGTCTGTGGTGTGATGGGAAACTCTTCCAGCTCAAAGTCTTCAGTGGTCTGTACTCCCTTTGTACACAGGTCTGTAAAGTCACTCTGGCATGATACTGCCAAGAAAGTCAGAAACAAGTTTTCTAACCCCACTGAATAATGTTGACACATATTCAATTGGCAATAGTCATCTAAATGAGAGCGCACACTTTGTTCATGAAGGATCAACTAGCAATTATGTGATTTGAAGACAATATACTACAAATGCTAATAATCTTTTGCAAAGTTAATGCTTTAAAATTTCTCTAATTCATAGGAGAATCATACTTTTGTTTAAGAAAAGTAAAACTGCACAATAATACAAAGAGTGAGTGAAGTGAAATAATATCTGGGATTCGATTTAAGATACGCCAGCAAGTGGAAGGAATGGAGAGAACAGCAGCAGTCAAGAGTACAATTGTTAGTTAGCTAGGTGCTTAATACTTAGGAGTAATTATATATTTATGTTATCAAAATTGCAATAAGAAGGTTTTTAACCTTTTATTAAAACTAAGTTTATTTAATGATAACAGAAAAGCTGTACACTAACACAACATTTTGGGATGCTTCAACACAGGAACATATAGGCATTTTTAAAAGGCTGCATAAAACATATTTTTTTTTTAGTTTTGTAAATTCTATTTTTTTTTTTTTAATTTATGTGCATGGGTTGTCTCTGTGTCTGTGTGTCATGCACGTGTGTGTGATCAGGAAGCCCAGAAGAGGGCATCAGATCCCCTGGAGCTGGAGTAGCAGGTCACCGTGAGCCGCCTTACATGAGCACTCTGGAAGATCATAAAGTGCTCTTAACCACCCCACACACTCCCCCACTATCTCTCCATCCCCCCCAAACATGATTTTAACGACTTCTCCTGAAGAAAGACAAAAGTAGAAAGACTGATTACTAGCAACGCTGATTTGCAAAAATCAACCCAAATCTATTCCAAGGGGCTCTTCCCCTTCACTTTCTTTACTTAGAACCCTTATTACTAACAGCCCCAGTTTCAGCAGTAAGGCTACTGTACCATGTTTTCTTGCAATAACTTCTTTTTCTTTCTTTGGAGAGGACTTGGGCAGACGATTAGCGTATATGTTTTTTATATCCAATTCTCTCTCCTTTTCCTGAAATCAAACCCAATACAAGGAAGGCAGATAATCAGTCTGAAATTAAACACTCTCAGTATGATAACCAATATCTTCTTTATTAAATTCGAATATTTCTAGGTCAGCTCTCTGTTGTAACTATCAAACCAGAGGAAGAAAAATCTCCTAGGAGGGGAAAGAGAAGGAGGGGGAGGAGAGGGAAGTGGAGGGGGGAGAGGAGGAAGGGAAGAGGGAGGGGGAGACAGAGAGAAGGGGAGAGAATGGGAGAAGGGGGAGGGGAGAAAATACCACGAGCTCCACTCCTCCCCCACAGGGCTGCAATGGCTCTCTGATCCAGGCTTAGCCACAGAGACAAAAGTCGAGTCTCTCTTAAGTGTGTGTTTGGGCTATTAATGACTTAAAAATCAAGAGCATGGTTTTCAACCCAAGAGATCTTCACAGTATGGGAATAATGCCTTCTTCTGAGAACGTGAACATCAAAGAGAAAACTATATAAGGTTGTGCAGAATTTTGTAGAATTCTGAACAAAATTCCAACCCATCAATAACCTCCATAAAATGAAAACATGCTTAATACAATTTACTAATGTGAATTGGTTTCCTCTAAACAAAATGAAGGGGGTCTCAACTTTAAAAGTAGGCAGTCCTGGGGTCATGTGAAGAATAATACTGAATCGCTGAGGAGTGTGAGGCACATGCTCATTCCCATGGTTCTCTTCCAGAATTTTGTAAAATGTATTTCATTTACATTGTTGCGACTGGCATATACACGGTACTTTACTTTGTTATAATAATTATAGTAACAATGCTTTTCTAAGTGACACATACAGTACCAGAATTTTGTGAATTACACAGTAACAAATATGAATAGTGACCAGTTCTTTAAAAAATTCGAGGTTCTCATGTAATTTATATGACAGGAGAAATAATAATAACAGAAATAATAAATGTGGTCTAAAAGAACATGCTCACCTTTAACTTGTGATAGAGCCGCTGCAGCTCCTTTTGAAGAACTTTGTTTTCGTCATAGGCCTCAAATGCCCTTTTCCGCTCAGCAAGCAACTGCCGCTGGAAACTGTTAGTGCTCAGCTCGAGGTTTTTTGAGAGCTCCTTTGTGTAGCAACAACAAAACCAACAGTCAGACACAGGGCTTAGACGTGCCAAGCGACATCTTGGTAGCACTGACAAGGCTTAAAAGCCAGGCTAAGTTTAGTGTTCACGAGCGTAACACAAGCCAGGAAACAGGCTCCCTATCCATTAGTAAGATGTCTAGCGTGTTAATTCTTCCTTGCTTTTCCTGATGATGGGTGATCAATCTTTACACATTTGCCTACAGCACATAGTCACTTGAGGGACCAAAAGGCAGAACTGGTAACAGAGGAGCTTCCAGAAATCAGTGCTGGGAAGTAAATACCAAGGTAGCTAAGGGCAAACAGTACAGATGGAGCGTGTGCACTGGAACACCCACTCGGGAAACTGGCGGCTGTTCCCATGGTCTCTGAACGTGCATCATCGAGGTTATGAAGAACTGAAATTAGAACACTCTTTTCCCCCAAATAAGTAGTTATCTGCCTACCTTCTAGACAAAAAAGTCTTCTGAACAAAACATAAAATCCCATAGAAAAAGGGGAAATATACGGTAGCTATAATCTCACTTCTCAGGAATTATCAATGTCAATATCTCAGTGTATAACCTGACTTCCATGAGCTTTTCCCGCCTCACTATGATAAAAACCTAAAGCAACAGACTCTGGTACCAAATCCTTTAAAATGGAATCACTTCGTAGATTAGCATAATTTATTTAAGTAGATTCTGCTGTCCCAGTTTTTCTGTGCTTCCAGCTTTTCCCATAGTGAATATCCTAGAATAAATAACTTCAAACATAAATTGATTATTTCCCTAGAGCAATGTTAAGAAATGAAGTGTCTTGGATCTTACTGAAATTAAGAACTCCAGTCTTTGAAAGTAACAAAGTGAATAAAAAGCCATTTTGAGGGAAATAACTTATCTGATTTATATCAATCACTATAACAACACACATACATGATATCTATATCTATACACACACACACATACATGATATCTATATCTATACACACACACACACACACATACACACACACACACACACACATACACAAAATTCAAAGAAACCAAACAGCTCAGTAAAAGTAGAGGGAATATTTGAACCGGTGATTTACCAAAGAAGACAGAGACAAATAAGCACCAAGCGTGAGGCTCCAGTATCATTTTCTATGAAGAAAATGCAACCTAAAGCCACAATGAAGTGATATTACCTGTCTGTTAGAATGCCTAAAACTAGGAAATCTAATTGACAATGGTTCAGGGGATGAACAGCTATCAACATTCATGTACTCTGAGTGGGACTATACCATGTGCAATGTACCGACAGTTTTCAGGGCAAGCGGCTGGCTTGGCTTGGCGACTTTCCTCAACATGTCAATTAAGGAGTTAAGGGTAAAAAGCAGAGAAAACCAATTTATTCAGCATGACCACACTAGGAGGAACAGCTGGCCACACAGACATCACAAGCCCCCAGAATGATCTAAGAAGGCAATGTTTTCACCTACTCAATACTGCACCCACAGTGGCTAACTTTGGTTTAGTAACAATGACGCATCGGAGATCACTGTTAAATGCAACGCTACGGATACTCTAACCAGAACCTAGTGGTGGAGTCCTGTAATCTCAGATATGGGAAGGCGGAAGGAGTAGGAGTCTAGATAGAAGCCAGCCTGGGTTACACGGTAAGATTCTCTCTCAAAAAAATCCAAACCATAACATAGTACTCGGTTAAAATGTTTTGTGTAAAAGGCTAGAGACCTACACAGGTCAGCAGCAGACTTCCTGCAGATTGGATCCTGTGTTTCAGGAGGAAATTACTATAAAAGACATTATGTCAACAGGGAAAGAAACCACTAGAGACAGTGGAATAAAAGAAATTACTGTATACATGTAAATCACAATACTGATGTATTTAGGGTCGATGAGTATGATATATATAACTTCCCCTCAGAAAGTTAATCTGTGTGTCTGCATGGGACAGAGAAAGAACATGGGATCCCATGACTGCATGTTAATATAAATATTAATATAAATCAAGCATGTTAATATTTACAATAGGTGAGTTGGTAAACTATTTAGTTTAGTATTCATTGTAGTATTTTAGATTTACAACTCTACAGAAGCTTGAAATATTTCTACAAACCAGGTAGTAAGAAAACTGTCCCTCTGAATATATTGAGGCCGATTAGGAAGTCATTACACTAAAGAGAAGAAATGCAGCAGAGGTAAATGGGATGTAATGTGCTCAAGATCCAAATAAACGCGCTCTCCAGAAAGAACCTAAATGAGAGCCAAGAAAAGGAACACTGTAGAGTCAAGACAAAAGATTTTCAGGAAAGATGAAAAGGTTTGCAACTCAGAAGTCCTTACTAAGAGAAAATATACTTCAGTAGGAAAGAATGTGAACCCTGAGGGAAAGAACCAATACTGAGCAATGGTAACAAGCATAGAACAATGGTAAACCTAGAAAATGTCAGGAGTCACCTTAGAATGGGACCTACTGTCTGAAATTGTACACTTGGGAGTCTGGAGCCCTTGCACACCTCGATTTCTGTAACTCTACAGACATTTGCTGCCCTGGGTCAATGAAACTTTCCGCCAAGGAGAGCAGAAAAAACTGTATCTGAAAAAAAACAAAAAACAAAAAAAACCAAAGCAAACAAACAAAAAACAAAACAAAACCAACCAAACAAAAAGCCCTCCACATTCTACCTCCCAAAGGAACTGGTTGTAACCTCACCTCACATGTGCATAGGAGATACTTAAGTGGAAAATACAAGCCCCAGCAAAGAGGGAAGGCAAGGTGAGCGCATCAGGGAAGCTGCAGCCAGGCTCTGGTGCTGAAGAGGAGCAGGGCTTCCAGGTCAGACTACTGAGGGCTGGCCACATGGGATCACTAGAGCCTGTGCCGCTTGCCTGATGATCAGGAATTTCTTTTCTGATAATCAGGATGTAGACTCCACTGACCACAATGTTTCCAAGCTGTAGGACATGATCTAGAAACCAAACCTGAGAATCCTTACAGGTAGAAAAGGCTGGAATACAAACTACAGGCACAGAAAACATAGTCACTGAAATTACAGTGAAAAAAAAGGGGGGTCTCCAAATCAAGGGGAATAACAAACATTACAAGAGGCATTTAGAATTCTAAACAGACATGACCAGAAAAGCATGCATCCAAGGCACATTATACGAAAAATGCCAACAAAGAAGAACACAGAAAGCCACAGAAGAAAACTTCAAGTAACATACGAGACAGACTTATCCACGTAACATCAGACCTCTCTGCAGAAAGCCCAAATGCCAGGAAAACATGGAGAAGAATGAACAACTGCTTGTTAAGATTACCATACAGACCAAAGTTATCCGTTAAGATAAAGGAGATGTTTTCAAGATGATCACAAACTAAAGCAATTCATGACTACTAAACTAGCACTACAGAAGATATTTTACAACAGGAATAGAAGAATAAGCAAAGAATCAAGCATATTTAACTCAGTATTTGGCAAATCCCTAAAATAAATAAGAAAGAGAGAAAAGAACAAAAAGTGTACAAATAAACCAAGAAAAAAATCCAAGAAATTACAGTAGCAAATAACTCTCAATATTGACCCTGAACCTAACTAAGAGGTTGTTAGCTCTCCAACTAAAAACTGCAGACTAGCCTATGAGATGACAAACAAAATCCAACCTCATTGGCAAAGATGTGTTCGGAAATAGAAAGGCTGGAAAGGGATTTCCCCAGCGTGAAGAAGCTGTGAGCAAGCAGGAACAGGAGGATTGGTGGGTGATAGAACAGACTTCAAGCCAGAATTAGAGGGATGAAGAAGAGCTGTCCACAACCAAAGGACACAAGGGTTGTAAATATATGTGTTCTGCACATTGTTACACCCAGTTTCCTAAATCACATGCTACAGGTCCAGATAAAACAATGGTGATCTCAACACACACCAATTCTTACCAATAAACAAGTTATCAAGACAGAGAAGCTTCAAAGTAAGTTGGAACACAGGGAACAGATCTAACTTTCTTCTCAACAGTTCATGGCACTGTCCCCAAAATAAATCAATTTTAAGCCATAAAAGAAATCTTACAAATATTTAAAAACTGAAATTTTTTCTTATATCTTCTATCATAATGGACTAAAATTAGAAATCAATAGAAAACCACAGGGAAAAAAAAGAAAATATTGAAACATAAGTTGAAGGATTTGGAGGAATGTGGTGGGAAGTCGATATGATTAAGATGCATTGTATACATGCATGAAATTTTCAAAGAATAAATTGAAAACACATCTAAATGGGTAAAAAGAAAACTATGCAAACACTTGGAGATTGACCAATAAACTATTGAATGATTACTGAGTCACTGAAGAAAACGGGGGAAATTGCTTAGAATCAAATGAAAGTAAAAACACAACCTACCAGGTAGTTCTGGGGGCAGGGATGTTTACTGCGATCGTACCTACATTAAAGGAACCACAGATATCTCAAATAAGTAACCTACTGATACACATCAAGGTCTCAGAAAAACAACAGCAATCCAAACCCAAAATGAGTAGATGGAAAGAAATAACAAAGATCAGAGAGAAAAAAATATGAGACACTAAAGCATCATTATACTAAAGAAAATCAGTGAAACAAAGTTAGCTATCTGAAAAGATAAACGGTCTCAAGAATACAGAGAAACTCTTAGCCAAGGTACATAGGAGGGGAGCAGAGAGGAGGAGAAAGGTGGGGGGAGGAGGAAAAGAAGAGCAAGAGAGAACATGACAACCCAAATTAATAAAATTAGACATGAAAAGGGATATGATAACAGATACCGATGAAATCCAAAGGACCTTTAGTTGATAGTTTGAAAACTTGTGTTCTAGGAAGTTGGAAGCTGGAAGGAACAGTTCAATGTCTAGACTCGTAAGATCTGCTGTAACTGAATGAAGGTGATGCACACAACAGATCCAGAAGAAGCAGTGAGACAGGATATGGAGAAACCAGCGTTGATGTAGTCACTGCTACATCCTCAC